CAGACTATTATTAGACAGATTATTAGTTTTTCGTCTTTCAAGTACTAATTTTTTCGAGTACTACTTTTATGAAATTCATATGTTAAAATATAGATACAAATATATTCCCGACACATACTACACTAGATGCCCTATACGTTCTTAAAGCCACTTTATATAATCTGTATACTTTGTAAATACTAAAAATGAATAATCATCTTTTGACGATAGCTTCTTATAAAGACAATGATTAAATCACTTCGTATGAGTAATACTCGAATCTTATAGTGTCAAAATTAGTGTCAATGATTTGAGATTTATGAATATAAAAAATAATTCTGTGTAAATAGTTTATTATAAAATTTATTTTCATTTTAATTTTTTTGAGAATTTTATAATGTCATTGAAACTAATTAACTAATTAACATTAAATGTTTTAAAGTAATAATAAATTTATTCATAATTATATAATTGTTAACATAGTAATGCATTTTAACTATAATTCATTCATAGCATAATATTCTAATTGGAAAAATGAAATTCTTGCAAAATATAATAACCCGATAACTAATTACTTTATAATTCGAACTTATTCTGTAATTCCATGACATTCATTTTTTTCTTCACAAAATACAATCAACTTCTTTCAATATCAAAATCGAACGAATCTATAATCAATGTCTATATTTAATTCCATTGTTATGTCATATTTGAATTTCAATAGAGATTTTAATCATTATTACATTTAATTCGTTGTCTTACTTTTCAAATATCATTGTTTTATTTTATAATAAATTTCCCAGCAATAAAATTATAATTTATTTCTTCCAAGATCTTAAAATCTTCAAAACAATATTATTTTTTTCGATACTAAAATTAAAAAAAAATCTGAAATAGCTGAGAATTAGTTTTTCTTGGATTTCAAAGATTAGATACCTACCTTTTTTTCGAATTCTTGAAATACCTATCATGCTCTCGAAAATCAAAGGTCCATATAAGGTACATATAATATATTTTTTTATATTGTTAAATGTTAAATCGAGATCACAAATCTTTTCTATAAAATTTACAGATCTTAGAAGATCTCACAACAAGTTTCAAACGGCACGTGATCAACAATGATCTCGATTCCATTCGCTTTCTCATCGAAAGCGTACTTTCTTGTAACACGTTATCATCGAAGAATGACGTTAAGAACGAAACGATAATTTTGGTTGAAGTGGATGCGTGAAAAAGCGAGAAACGGAGGAGATTCTCCGGGACCAATTGGTAATGACCTCAAACGCGCCATTGACCTCCTTTACGGAGAACCTGTTCTTCGAGTACAAAACTTCATTTCTTCCCTTCCTCGTTTCTCCTCTCCTCATTCTACTGATCTTTCCTCGTCACATGCCGCCTTTCTCCATGGATACCCCTTTGTGGATATTTACGCAGCATGTACCGTTTTGATCGTGGAGCACTTTTACTAGGACGATCTTCCGTGCGACTTGGTTTTGAACAGGATCTTTAACTTTCACGTTTGTGATCGATCACGAACTTATGATTTGTTCGAATCTTTTTATTTTTAATATATATTTTTTTTTTATTTTGTAGAATTGATCGATAAAATGTTTTGGATTGAATGTGTTAGAAAATTGGAGAGAGAGAAATTGTTTCTTTTTAAAATAATATTTAAAAAATTTTTCTTTGAACCTTCTTTTTTTTTTAAGAAATTAATCAATATATTTAGATTTTCAAATTGAATTTAGATTTTTAATTGTGTCGAAAAATTAATTAGAATTTGAAAAAGAAATATTTAAAAAAATTCTATGATTTTTTTTAAATTTTTAAAAGTTTTCTTGCTACATTTGTTGCATTTTTTTAATCAACAATTATATTTTGTAAATAAATCTTGTTTTATTTATTTTAATAATTCAATAATTAAAGATCAATATGATCAATAAGATGAAATTTTGAGAAAAAAATTTTTTTTCCCTTTTAAAATTAATACTTTAGAATATTAATTTTAAATTAAGTCTGTAAATAGATTCAATATATTAAATTGTTGGGAAATTTTTTTTTCATTCGTTTTATGAGTAATTTTGAAGATATTTTTATTCGGATTTTGTTCTTATTCTTATTTTATGTATAATAAAGGACATAATTATAGAACTCAATGAAGAAACCTGATATTAAATTATACAATTTATTTATCTCTGTTAAAAACATATTAAATTGATATATATTTTTCGTATATATCACATATTTAAATTAACAATAAAAGATTTAATTTACAATTGTTAAATCAAAAAATTGATTAATATAATTATAGATATAAATATCTAATAAAATCTAAAGAATTTATTAATCTAACAATAAATAATTAATTAAATAAAAATATTTAATTATAAAAGTAAATTATTAAATCTATTTTATTTTAATATTAATTTAAAAATATATGATAATATTAATTATGAAAGTAAAGACATTTTACTTTATTCTTTCCATGATTATTAAATATTTTTCCTACGTATTTATTAAAATACATGAGTTATTTTGGTTTATCGAATTCATTTGTATTTCAATCACAAACTAATAAGAAAGCAAATCTAAAATACATAGACAGGTATTCATTTACAATTATCATTGCATTACATTATAAATTATAGGACAACAAAGTTACATAATAGAAATGATTGTTACAAATCATTCTCTGGGTTTTAATTTTTATATACACAAAGATCAAGTTTTATTCACTTTGATAATTTTATTTTATTTTTTAATATATTGGGACTTTCCAAAGAATTTATTTTAACAATTTCGTTTAAAAAAAATAATAAATTTAATTAAATTTAAAACATTTCATTATAAAATTTTAATCAAAATAAAAACTAATAGACTTTTATTTCTTATTTTTCTTTTTCCTTAATGAAAGTATTTTCTAAATTATGTAACAGATTGTTCTGTTTGTAAAATAATAAATTATTATTACTTATTTAAATTAAATTTTAATAAACATTCGTATACTAAAATAACACTCACTCATTACATATATTTTTTCATCTATTTACATACGCACTTGATAAAAACAATGAAAAATATTCAATTTTTATAATTTTGATTTATTTTCATATTGCTATCAATCATTCAATTAAAAATCATTTAAAAATCAATATATAATTAAAAAATTTTCAATTTCAATTTTTCTCAAAATACTTTGAGAAAATACTTTGACTTTGAAATTAAAACTTTTATTCGTTTAGAATAGTTTTTTTTCTTATAGTATTATTAAATTATTCATTAAGTTCTGCGAATCGCTTGTAAATGACAATATTATAATGACTATTATAATGATAATAATGATTATTCTAAATTTATATTTTACCCCAATTTTCTTTTTTCTCTCAAAAATTTATAATTATTATATTATTAAATCGATCATTTCGTGTTTTATTTTTATTCTTCAAATTTTATACTTTATTTTGTCTATTACAATATGAAATATGAAAGAATAATATTTTAAAATTCATGATGAAATGAAAAATTTATCGGATCGATAATTATTTTACCTCAATTTTGGAATTAAATTTTGGATAAAACTTGCAACCATTGAATAATATAATATTTCTTAAAATCTATATATGTTTCGTACCAAAAGCAAAACAATTTTTAATATTATCACACGTTCCCAACTTGTTTAAACTTATTCAACTTATTAACTTAATTTTATTACTAATTTTTCCACAGTCAAACTCAATTCTTAAAGGATTTGCACATGATGAATAATATTATGGATCATATACAGATTAGAAGAAGATAGATACATTGTCAATATTGATAAATATCGGTAATATTATTAATGATGTGTCTTTTTAAAACAGCATTAGAAAATTTAATGCTAATACAAGCCATTCTTTACCTTCACTTTCAAAGAAAATAATAAAAATTTTTGCCATGCATAGTGTGTGTCTCTAATATTATTAAACTAGTATTAGACTAGCATACACATTCTTTTATCTGGCGAATACAAATGCGGTGCGAACTTTCACGCATTTAAAAACGTGTCGCAAGTGGAACGAGACTAGTGATTTTGCATTTTTTGAAAGTATTTATTACTAGGTCACTGGGTCCCGATCATGAAGATGTTTTAACGCAAGCAATTGTTGCCTTTCACGGCAAGCGTTTCCAACGATACATGTCATGTATCAATACCTATAAACATTTAATGTTAAAGAATCTTCTAATGCATCTTGTAACCGATATCGAATCGATTTAAATGTTTTATTTTCCCGTGTACACGCTCGATCTTTCTTGTGTTTCTTCTTGAAATTGCCTTTCATTGATTTAAAACGTTATAGATCGGCAGAGAAAAAAAATATATATATATAAATATAAGTTTCCAGTTTACTGAAGTTCTAGATGTATTGATTTCTTCTTCATTAATGATGCATTTTATCTGAATATAGGTTTATCTAATTGTAAGTTTAAATGTTTTTTATGAAGCATTTTCTTAGGAAGAAATTTAAATTATTTTTTAAATTTAATTGAAAATTATTATTATGAGATTTTTTAATGATAATATTTTCTCTTATAAAATTCATAGTGAAGAATCACAATGAATAAATTAGCGTATAAAGTTTTGAAAATCTTAGAAATATTGAAATTTTGAAGATTTTAGAAATATTAAAATTTTCGAAAATGTAGAAAATTAAAAATTTCGATCTTATTTAACGCGAGTTAGATTTTTGAAACATTGGTACTTTTAAAATATTTTTAATAGTATTGAAAAGTTTAATATTTTTATATTATATATGTATGATATATAAATATACAAATCTTTTTCATTATTCATATCTTTAGTTATGTTAATCATTACGTGACAACTATATATTTTTATTCAAATCAGTCTTCAATTCTTTAATAAAAAATAGCTTGAAATACTAAGAAATTTTCTTTTTATATTTCTCAATAGAAAGTTAAATTAAAATTGAAAATTGGTGATAGTATATTAAATTCTATAAGAACGAACATTTCTGTTTTAGATTTAGATTCAAAATGGCGCCAAATTTATTCGGTTCATCGGCGACATTATATTTGGAGGCATCACAACAAGATGTTCACCAAGAAAAATCAACGATAGAAAAAGAAAATAATCAGAAATTAGTCCAGAAGTCATCGAGTTCCAAATCGAAATATAAATGGAAAATCGTTTGGAGAAACGTGATTGCATTTATTTATTTTCATCTTGGAGGTCTATATGGATTCTATCTTTGGGGTAATGGAAGCACGAAAGCATATACAATTTTATGGAGTAAGTATAAATATTTTAATTTATTCTCTGAAAATTATTATAACGGATAACATTTTATGTAATATAGCAATTTTTTTTAAAAAATATTTTAAAGATTTAAGAAGAAAATTTTTCTATTCGATTTTTTTTCTGAAAAATTCTCTTCTATATAAAATAGTATAGTAAATATCCATAAAAAACATTTAATATTTATCAGAAGAATCAGACAAAAATTTCAAAAAAAAAAAGCATTAAGTATTATATATTTTTTTCAATTAATTTAGATTCAGTTTAATATGATTACATTTAAAATCAATAAACATTTTGTTAGATTGAAATCCGTCTCATATTGATAGTGTATATGTTTTCCTTGGCTTTTTGAGATTGATAATAATTATTAATGACAACATGTAATTAAAAATCATAATGTAGAATTCAATATAAAAAGATTGATCTTATCATTGCGATTTCAAAAGAAACATTCACTGTTGCATTTCATTTTTAAAAAATATAAACGCAATGAAGAGAAGTATAAGATCGTGCGAAAAATCTTCAATAGCTGCAATTCACTTTCTTGTTGATAGAAATCGATGAGATGAAAGCGTATGTAACACACAGAATTGTTAGAAATTTGCTGATAAAATATTGTAAATTTCTCAAGAATTTACTTAATTACGAAATTCTAGTGCAATAGTTTTCTTATTATTATAGAATATTATTAGACAAAGCTTAGAATGTAACGACAATATTTTTTTTATTTAAGAATTTTAATAAAGAATAAACACATATATAATAATTTCTTTGTTTATATTGTTATTTTATTCATTCTATATCTACAAATATTATCGTGTATGTTTTAATCGATAAATATATTTAAAAGAAATATTATTTTCTATCGCATTCCTTATAAAGTTTTTTTAAATTTTCTGTTCTTTAAACTTATAAAAATATAATATGTGCTTGTTTTTCGTTAAACTAATTATTAATATAATCATCCGTATTGTTTTTTTTTTTAGAAATAAATCTATACAATATGTAATTTTTTTCTATAAAAAATATATTTTTAAAACTATTTCATTCCAAATTTTTTTTACACACATTGTATTTTAATGAAAAAAATTTGATCAAATTATTTATCAATGTCACAACAATTTCATTATGTCTGAAGAAACAATACATCTTTTTTTTATTTTTGATATCTGTGAATCTCTGAAGAAGTTAGCTGCAATATTGACAAAACGTTGCGCAATTTGTCTTGAATATAGAAAACATTCAGATATAGAAATCGCATAAAAGATAAATAAAATAAAGTTGAAATAGAACCAATTAAATAAATTAAATTAGAATTGCAAAATAAAATAGAATGATAATAAAAATAAATAAGAATATACATAGAAATAAATATATGTCTCGAGATGAATATATTTAAATCCAATAAAAAACAAAATAAAGTAAATCAGATAAAGTAAATAACATATCGAAAGTGCGGAATAAATTAGAACGAGAATAAATAATATGGAAGAGAAATTAGACTATAATTGAGAAACATTCTATAACGATAAAATTAAAACAAAAATTGAAATAGAATTTATTAGAATGAAAGGATTTGTTAACATGTTATGCGACAGTAAATAAGAATTAATATATTATATATTATTTAATTAAAATAATAATAATATGTAAAATATAATAAAATATTATAAATTAACCGATATGGTATTTTCAGCAATTTTAGTGACATTTTGTATTGCAATGGGCATCACAGCTGGTGCCCATAGATTATGGTCACATAGAGCTTACAAAGCAAAGTGGCCCCTACGCTTCGTGCTGATGCTTCTTCAAACAACCGCCTTCCAGGTAGATTTCTACTTTTTTATAATTATCACTTGTATAAAAAAATATTAAAATTCGAAAAATGTATTATATTTCAAAATTAATATCATCTATTAATTGCTCTTTTCTCTTCTAATTTTTCAATTCTTCATAAGTTCTAAATTGAAATTCGAAAAAAATAATTAATTCGAAATAATTAATTATAATGTTTGATATTTAGATTCTTTTATTTATCATTTCATCTTCAAACTTTTAATAATTTTTCAAATAATTCAAATTTCAAATTTCGATTTTGCTTTGCAGAATCATATTTACGAATGGGTGAGAGACCACAGAGTTCATCATAAATTCACAGATACTGATGCGGATCCGCACAACGCACAACGAGGATTCTTCTTCTCGCATATGGGTTGGTTGTTAGTCCGAAAGCATCCAGATGTATTTAAAAAAGGTGCTACTGTTGATTTGAGCGATTTGGAAAAGGATCCTATTGTCGTCTGGCAAAGAAGGTGAAATATAATTTTGGTTTTTATTTCAATATTTTAATTTTTTTAATAATAAATTTAATTTAATTTCATTGAACGAAATGAAATGAAAGAATGAATAGAAATGATAGAAAACTTTGCTAATTTAAATTAAGTTTATTGATTAAAATTTTTGCGAAGAAAATTATATTAATAACTGTATTTTGTATTTGAAATAAAAATACAATTCTAATGAAAATTATAAATAAGTTGTTTTATAATTTTGCAATAAAAATTGCACGTCTTTATATTTTCTTTAATGAAATCACAATTTAAAAAATAAATATAAATAAATATAAAAAATAATTTATTTTTTAAATATTATCCAATGTCATTTAAAGTAAAATAAAAAATACAAATATAAATTTAGTTAAAATATAAAATATTTGTATAAATTGTGTAAATATTTTATAATAATCAATATTGATATTGACATAAATATAAATTGCATTAAATTATAAAAAAACAAGATTTATTAAGTCCATAAGTTAAAGAATACAAGCAACCGTGAATATATCATATATAAAAATATTTTCTATTGAAAGTTGACAATAATGTCACATGACAATAACCCGAATGGAAGCTGTTTACATCTCTCAATACAACTTTTCTTTTTAATGTTTTTTAGATTGTATATCGTGTTAATGCCACTTTTATGCTTTGTGGTCCCTGTGTGGATACCTTATTATTTCTGGAATGAAAAATTTATTATTGCTTGGTATACCAATCTAGCAAGATATGTCTTCTCCTTGAACGCAACGTGGTTGGTGAACTCTGCTGCTCATATGTGGGGCATGAGACCTTACGACAAGTAAGAAATTAGTATATTTAAATAGTTTTTCTTTTAGAAACATACAATTATATCATAATATTTATTTTTTTAATTAAATTAATAGTTATATAATTATATATTTTGTTGTTTATAATTATTTTTAAAAGTTGCGATATTATACTATAATAATGTATTTTAAATTTATATGATATATAAAAATTACGACTGTTTCATTGTTTTCAATTTTTTTTTTTAAAAATTGCAGTTGAATTTTTTCGTTCTTAACGATATTAAATTGAAACAACTTTTTTTCTTTATTTCCATTAAAAGTTATGAATATTAAATTCCATTTTATAAAATTACAGAAATGTCGCTTCTTTGATGTTTCTTATTTTCTTCAGAAATTGTGATAAATTATAAATAGTTGTATTCTCTAATTTTCAGTAAATAAATATAAAATATTTTGTTTATTGCTTTTTTAAAAATTATAATATAATGCACTAAAAGAAGAATAAAGGATATAAATATAAATAAAATATATTATAACTTAATTTTTTATTTTCAATTTTTTTAAGAAGACAGGTTTCATATAAATAATTTTTAGAAATAATTCAGTTAAATAAAAAGTAAAATTTCATGAATTTCATGTAAATTTCCAGAAATATTGGTCCGACGGAAAATCTAACTGTATCTATACTTGGATGTGGTGAAGGATGGCATAATTATCATCATGTATTCCCATGGGATTACAAAGCCGGTGAATTTGGCAACTACAACACTAACTTTTCTACTGCGTTCATTGATTTATGCGCTCGATTGGGATTGGCATACGATATGAAGACTGTTCCCGTCGAAGTGATAAAAAAACGAGCCGCTAGAACTGGAGATGGATCGAGGTATTGATATAATATTATTATTATTCATTATACATTAAATCAATTTAACTATTAATTAAAGATGTATTAATTTGACGAAAAATTTTTTTGATATATCTTTTGCAAATACGTATGGTTGTAGAAACTTTAAAAAATCCTCCATTGTTTATTGAAAAAAGTAACATGAAAATCTAGAATTAGAATAGCAATATAAACATGGAAACAAGAATTGAAAAAAAATATAAAAAATAAACGTTTTAAATATTTAAAATTAAAAAATAAAAAAACAATTCAATATTCGTATATTTGATCAAATGAATTTTATTATTTATAGAATCTTCATATTTAAAATTTCAATTTTTAGATACAATAAAAACGAAGGTATTTATCATCATAATCATGAGGATATGAAATGGGGTTGGGGCGATACAGATATGAAGCCCGAGGAAATCCAGGAAGTCAATATTTACAACAAAGGCGATTAATCGATTGTTTGATAAATAGCATAAATGACTGATCGATAGTGCACGGATAGTCACTAATTGGAAAATAATTAATCATTTATTATGTCAATTATTATAAAAATTATTAGCAGTTTCTCGTTACTTGTTACTCCGTGAAGGGTCGATTGCTTGGTCGATAATCTGATTAATATAATTTTGATTATCTGTTAAAACTCATTAAACTAAGTAAGATAAACACCAAACGATTCGATTCGAATGATTTACGGTAAGATGATTTTTCATTTTCATTGAAATCTTTATAAAAAAAAGGAAAGGCAAAAAAAAAAAAAATGAAGAAGAGAAATAAAAAAAGTTCTTCTGCTAGTAGTCGACTTTTCACTCGAGAATATAAATTAAATTCGTGACTTTTCGATGCAGTTGTTCGAAATGTCACGATCTTTTTATTATTTTTTTTCTTCGGATTAATTGATCTGGAGAATCGGGTATATGGTAGTTAATTGGTTAATTTTATTAATTCTACGTTATGTTGAATGTGATGGTGATGTATTTATTTTGAATAACGTAGATTTATCGTAACCAAAGCTATTAAAGGAATATATAGTATAATCATTGATCAACTTGTTATAGGTACACGGAAAAATATACGCGCTAAATATTGATTCCTAACGATTAATAAAATTTAAGATCTTTCGTGTGATATCATGGGATCGTAGGATCGATGAAATATATTAGGATCAGGGTTGTCGAGTAAAGTTTGATTACTGGAAAATTTAGAGAAAGTAATAGTATTAATGAACTTAGTAGAATATTTGTGTTGTACTTCTAGAATGAGGTAAAAACTTATTCAAACAATAGATACAATAGAATATTCTTTTCTTTTATTTTTGAATTCTATTATTAATAGTATTTTTTCTTATTTTCCAAGTAACAATTCTGATTAGGATGTTACATAACACATACATAGGATGAATAAATATAATGAAAATAATATATTTATAATATTAATTATTAAAAATAATGCAAAAAATACATGTTTTAATCGATACGTTTTTTCGCTATGATATAAATTTCTATATAAATTTCTTGGTTGATATTCTTTTTGATTTTATATTTTTGGCAGCTTTATTTTCTGAAGAAAAATTGAGAATTATTGAGAAATTACATTCTCAATCAAAATCAATGAAAATCAATGAATTGTTAAACTTTATTTTTAGTGATTATGACCTCCTTGATAAATTTATTATGTAATTTATTCTACTTCATTATTCAACGATTAAATAGATATACAATTCTTGATTGGATGATATTTCCCATTTATATATTATTATTATTATAAATAATATATTTATAAATAATTATGAGTAATATAGTATTTATACTATAAACATGTGTATACTCTATACATAATATGTGTAATAGAAAAACACAATTGGTTATATATTAATTTATATCATAAGATTCATAATTATTTAATACATTAATAAGCGATTCTTTTCGAAGCGATATACTCTCAACAATCGAATTTAATTTAATTAATAAAATTAATAAAAATTATTATTTATAGTAATCAAGTATTTCTTTAAAAACTATAAGATTTGTATATCTGCATTTAGTAATACAATTCTCAATTTTCTTAAGAATACTTACTCTCGTATATAGAAATAGAAAATTAAATTACTTTTATGAGAATTTAATAATATTAAAATTTAAGTAATCTTGAAAATTTAAATTTTCCTAATTGAAATATATATTTCCAAGTAATTCCAATAATATTTCCAATAAAACATTTATATATTGTTAGAACTGTATTTAATAATTCTAGAATGAATATAGAAAATTATTAATAATTATTCTCAAGGATCACTTTTAGCAGTGTTCCTAAAAATCACGCACAATATGTATTTAAAACGTGATATTTAACACTTTAAATAATATTCTACACGTACAATTTTATCAATAATCTATATAATATTTTAAAAAGCACAATTTTCATTCAATAGTCAAAAATACGCTTCCAAATAAATTTTAAATCTTGCCAAGTATTTCACCATATACATATTATTTTAACACTGTAACAACTTGCATTTATGAATTTACATGAATAAAAATTAATCATTCCACGATCCTAGATATTGAAGCAGTTTAATGAGAACGATCGATCTTGATTGTTAGATAGAATAAAATGACTCGGCTTTGATTTGTTCGTTAGTCTTCCGCGAAATGTTTATGAAAAAATCGGATCCGAGTCGTTTCATTATATAGCAAGTGTCAATTAAACGAAATATATAATTGTAATTATAAAACAATCGGCGATTGTGAAAAATCATTATGATTGTGAATTATCTTATGAAGTCGTGTAAGAAGATATTCGATAATCGTTTTTTGAGAAAACGACGAATATCCGTGACCAGTACTACAATGTAACAAATTGATTTGCCTTGAGAATCCATATTTTGTTGTAGAGATTGTTTTATCGCACAAATCCATGACATAAAATTTGTTTAACGAATGTAAAATGTACAATATGTATAAATTGATGATTTGAAAAAGAGTCGAAGATTTTTTAGTAAAATGAGAATTTAGAAAAAGCTATATATATAACTTCCAAATTTAATTTAATTGCAAATATAATATATTCTATATTTAATTCGAAATTATATAATAATTTAAAAATTTGAAGCTTAATTTATAATTTAAGAATTAAATAATTTATGAATAAAAATTATGGAATTACTTTAAGAATTGATTTTCAAATTAATCGATTGCAAATTAAATAGATATATCTTAATGATTATTCTTTCTGATTTTATATTACGAATCTCTATTCCTCGATTTCATTTTTAAAATTATTTATATTTCTTTGATATTGATTTTTCTCTTCGCAAAATAACTTTTAATCTTTGAATGAAAGAAAGATGAGCATAATTTTTTTTCATTCAACAAGAATATGAAAATTTTTTGTTTGTTCGCTTTAATGTATAATGTAAACATTGTTTTACTAGAATAAATATTATCGAAGAAAAAAAGCATACAAAAAACATATAAATTATTCTCTCCAAAATCTTACGATTTAATTTAATTTATCTAAATTTAATTTATTGCAATGTAAGTCTCGAATTGTTCTCGAATAGATAAAATATGGATTCTTACGACAGAGAAGAATTTATCTTTTTATCACAAAAAGATACATGAGTACATTTAATACATTATTATTTAAATGTTAATTTTGTAATCGTTCCTGAACGTTCTCCTAATTAAACTTCCGTTGAATGTGTAAAACAAACATGTATATATTTATTCGTGTAGAGAAGAAAACTTGTTTGAAGTTCTTAAATAATGCAATAACTTGTAAAAGTATATATGGGCAATGCTGAAAATCATTTTTTATATATAAAAAGCATATTTATAGATATATTGTAGAGGGTGATATTTATGCTTGATTATTTAAATATTACTTAAAAAAAGAAAAAAGAAGACAAAAATTTCTTATGTGTCTTTTCTTTAATACCCATTATATGATAAATAAAACTTTAAATTATACATTTTTTTAAAAAATACATTGTCAGATAACAACATATTGCTAACTTATAACTTTTTTCATAGAAAAGAATATGAAAAAATTATTGAATTTATTGAATTTTTTATTTAAAAATTCAATTCAAAAAAGAAACAGGAACATTATTACATTATTTGAATCATTTCTATATTTTATTCAGTTATATTTTTGAAAAAATATTTAAGAGAATAGATTAATAGGAAATTAATTTAAAAAAAGAGCAAAAAAACTTAAATTTAAAAATTTTATAAAAGAATTTCTATAGATCTGGGGCAAGAATAAATGAATATCATGTAACTGTAACATTGAATTAATGAAAAGAATATTAATGAAAAGGAGAAGAAAAAACATAAATTTTAAAGATATAAATAAAATATGAAAGATATAAATATATATAGTTAATAAAAGAAAAAAAATACCGTCATTTTAATTGTTTATTTTAAATAATAATTTTAGATAATATTAATAATTATTTTTAATATATATAATTATTGTTAGAATTATGCATTATAAATTAGATTAAATTAATTAACCCTTTATGGATTCGTGTAATTTTCAAGTCATATACTACTATAATGATATTTTATTAAATAATTCAATTTTTTTCAATTCAATTAATGTATACATACTTGTTATATCTTCTCAACAATTAATAATATTGTAAATTAATATTGTAAATATTTTTGAAAATTGTTTGCAGATAAAAACTGAATTTATTATTAATTTATATTTATAGCTTGATATTTGTGATTTTACGTTACATATTTTTTTATCATCATGAAAAAAATTCAGTCTATAGAAGATTAGGAAGATTAGGTTTTAATCCTATTCTTATAATTCTATTTGATCATCTAATTTATTATTCCAATGTTTAAATCAAATTAATTAATTTTATTTCAAATTTTATTTCAAATTTTTCGCCCTTTATTTTATTTTAATTTGCAAATATAATGATTTGTCATATATATTATGGCTCAAAATGTATTTTTAAGATAAATTTTGTGCAATTTTCATTTTGTAAATTAATTATTTAAAAATGGAATTAATAACTTTGATATTTTTTTTAATTTTTGATATTATTTTTTAACAAGAATATGACAAAAATTTGACTTGAAAAAAATTTTAAATTAAAGAAACAGAAAATTGAGAAATTGCTTTTTAAGAAATTTTTAAAAAATTTTATTTAATAATTATATTTAATAATTATTTAATAATTATATTTAATAATTAATAATTTTTGCTTATAGTCAATTTTATTATATTAGTGAAAAATTATAAATACATATGAATATATAAGAGAAATATTAAGCATAAAAAAAATTTATTAGAGATTAAATTGAATTTAAATTTAATTTAAATAACTTAAAAAAAAGGATCAGTAAATATCAACGTAAGAAAGTTAAACATTTACTTTTAAAAGTTGTCATAATTAAGAATACTTTTAATTTGTATAAAAAATTTTTATTAATTCTCTATTACTAAAATATTAATTTCTATTCATAGGAAAAAAAAATGTATTAAACAACTATTCGAGAAAAAATTAAATATTTAAATTTAATAATCTTTGTTTATATTTTTTCATAGACATGCTGAATTAAGTCATTAAACATTTAACAACATTAAACATAAACTAATATTTAATAATTAAAACAAAATATTTGATTTATTATATTATGTTTATTGCATAAAATTCATTTAATCAATTCATAGTATTATCATTCCAAACATAAATTGCTGCGTTGCTGGTTTACTTAATGTAATTTGTAATTGTAATTCGATCAGGTATTCATATTGATTTTAATTAAGAACAAGACATTGCTTTCTTGGAAGTTGCTTCAATCTTCATTTAATAAGCAAATAAATGAAAGCGCAGAAATTGATTTTTCTAGTTTTATTTAAACATATAAAAGCAATTGAGTAATTTCTGTGATCATCGTCGAAAAGATATTTACAGAAAATGAAAAGACAATCAAAGGTAAATGAAAAATTTAATTACTTGATAGTCAATAGTTTAATTATGATTTAATTGCATGAGAATAATTCATTGTTTTCTTAATAATATATAATTTAATTCGGCAAACATATTAAAGATGGTTTTTATTATATTAGGTATAAATTATCGGAAATTTAATATTTTTTTTAAAAATATATAAATATATAATATAATAATAAAAAATATATAAATATATAAAATATATATATATATCTAATTTAACAATAGTAGTATTACTATAAGATCTTTTCTTGTATAAAAAAAAAAATTTTTATGAATATAATTAAAAAATAGATTTTTGCTTGCAATTTT